TAAATATTTGCTTTTCTTTTGCCAGCCAGTTGTTGGATATGAGTGTTTTAACTACTTACCCTCTCGCCCCTCACCCTGCTAATTCTGTAGCTGACCATGTGGTAGCATAATGAAAAGCCTATTGGTCCTTCTTGTGATCTTATCTGAAGGGACAAAAGGAAGTCAGAAGTCAGTCCTTTAATTTCTCCACACAGTCACTAAGTATCTTTAAACAGTTTATTTATGGATCTATGTGAGAATCTATGGAACTACATTTGGGAAAGATGATATAAGAGAGATTTGTCTAGAAGGTGGGATTTAGGTCATCTACCTTTTATTCTATTGAAATGATAAAGTATAAATTGCGTGTGTCCAGAGCAGAAATATGTGTTGGGTAAGAAAAAGAAACTGTTGAATTAGCTACTATTGCTCATGTTTTGCAGCTTCAAGTTCAGTCACTCAATTGATGAAGCTTGGTGCAAAGTATGGGTTTTGATGTCATGCTTGTGAATAAGTATGGGATAGATGACCTGAGAAATTCCTTCTCATTTAGGCTACTGGAGTCATACAGTCTAAATGTCCAGTGGGTATTTTTATACAGATTCTACTAAAACACTGTAATTAGCACTATCTCCATTCCAACACCTTAAAAGTGAATACTGATTGTCATTGCTTTTTCTTACTGTTAATAAATTCTTTCCAACACACAAAGATCAAATATACAAGATTATTCAAACCTTTGCTGAATAATCTTCAGCAAAGATTATTCTTTGCTGAATAATAAGCAACGAATATTTGCTTATTCTTTCTCTGCTTAATAAAACAAGTGAAAGAAAGTGAATAGCAATAATGCATCTAAAAGACATAACGCCATTCATAAAGCATATTACTTCTTTAGACTCTCCAAATTCTAATTAGAACTTTACAAAGCAATAACAAAGATAGCAACTGGATTCTAAACTAATAACTTTAAGCTCAGTGCAAACCGGAAAGTCCCAGTGCCAGTAAAATAATACAAGACACCTGTTTTATATGGTACACATCAAAAGCAAGCCCCAAGGACGATAACTTTTAATATAATCATTATTAAATGTTTATTAGCCAAAGCTCAAAATATCAAGAAATGTATTGTAGTAGAGAAATGGCTATCTCCCAGACACACAAAATCTTTCTGTTTTGATGATTAAAACTTTGCCAATAATCTTCTGGCCCAAGGTAGCAAGCATTATTACTATACTTATGAAGTAATGAAAGCATGTTTCTTATCATTCAATTTTCCTATTTATAATTTAAAGTGCACTCCTGTTCATCTGTTTGAAATTAAATTCTTAAACTAAATATTTTATAGCTTTTTCATTCTCCTGGAGATAACAGAATTACTAATACAAAAGAAGAGGTCTATTCAAAAAGTTTAGGGATTCAGAAAACAAACAAACAAAAAACAACAAAAACCAGTGAAGTTTGTTACTATTTTGAAGATACACAACTTTACCTTGCGTAAATCCAGGTTTTTTTTGTAGGTGTCTGTTCCTGCACCAAACAAAACAGTACTGGATTCAAATTACACTTCTGTTCTCATTTTTCTAGGAATGACTACCCAACAATAAATGGATCTGTGTGTCATCCTTGTATGTTATTCCTCTGGGCCCACTTTATAACAAATCACTAAGTATGCATTGGGATAGGGAATTAAGTCTGGATTGCTCACATCTCTTAAAAAAAAAATGTTGAAGAGATAGTAAACAAAGTATGTATAGGACTTGAATTGAGTGATTGCTGCTGATTCAGATTAAACAGAAAAGCAAAGCCCAATGAGTTGCATGGGGATTTTTTAAATACAGAACTTTAATAAATCAGAAGAATTAATTACTGGAATCAGCTAGTTAAATAAAAATCAGTTGCTTAAATAAAATGTCAATAATATTTCTGTAGATCAGGGTGAAAAATGATTACAGAAGAACTTTTATAACTGAACCAATGAAAGTCGGATCTTGAAATTAATCAGTATGTGAGGGTAAGAAAAGGAGATAATGTTGAGAGAAAATAAGTATTGCTCTAAATAAAAAGTGGATTCATAAATGGCAAAGAAAAATGGAAAAAATAATAGACCAGGCATGCTAAAGGTGAAATGCTCAACAATGTAAGAGTGAAGATTTGAAAGTATTTTTCTAATGAGAATGCTCTACTACCTAAGGCGAAATTGGATGTGTATCTACTACAACCCTTAAACTTTAAAATGCCTCTCTGTACAGAAGACAAAAAGGTACAAAGAAGCAGGAGAAACCAAATCCATGTTTTCCATGTCTTGCCTGGGTATTCTAAACAAGAATTTGGGTATTCTAAATAAAGCTGGAGATTGGGCATTCTTCAGTCTTGTTTTATAATTGCTTTTAGGGCCATGTTGCCACTGTGCTTCCCCAGAACTTTGTACTACAAGAGTGCTTGCAGAATGCCTGCTACACTGAAATCCCAACCATCTGTAGTTTGCTTTTGATCATTCAAAGCAGAGTTGGGTATCAAAACAATAATTTTCTTTAACAAACAGAGCATCCTATGAGGAACTGAGAGCCTTTCACCTCCCACTAGTTGGCAAAAGTTGGCAGCATCTTGCTGCATTGGGATCTTTGAATTTAAAATGTAGACAATTTATTTGGAAGGGATGGACTACATGTTTTTCAGGAACAAAAGTGAAATAAAAATGTGAATAGAGGATATGCTCTTTCACATTATTTTCACGGTTTTCTTTAATTTCTTATTACAGCAAGCAATTATGTACTCTTGGAATAGATCTGGTCTGTCAGGAAGTAAGAAGGATAAAAATATATTTTAAAGGCTATTTTCTACCTCTTTGTTCAGATGGATCTACTTTTAAGGTTTACTTGGGGAATTCATCTCTAACTCAACACAGAAATTATTTCTTTAAAAGGTATGTTTGCTCCTGTGAGTCTGCAATATTTTTGTAGATTTCATGTTTTTTACTTCAGTAGTTTTCAGGATATGTATATATACTCAGATTACGATTAAATGAAGTGAGAGGTGTTGTTTTTCTTCAGAATTGCTAAGAATGCTGTAATTCGAATCAGGGTGGCTTATTTTCATTTTATGCATCATCAGTGCAGGCAAAGATTGTGTTAGTGCGATCAGTTTTACATGGCAGCAGTGCAACCATTTGGGTTTACGTCTTCAGAATGCCTGCTGAAATCAGGTCTTGCATGGAGCTGTTGGTATTTATTATGATACAGAAGGTGGAGCAGAATTTGTTTTACCTGTGTTGGCTCAACAGTTTTATAGGAGTAAAAGAATCAATTAAACCCATGTTTTTGCCAGTTTGTAAGATAACAGCATAGGTTTGTGAGGTAAAGTGTTTTTATGTTTAGTAGAGGAGAATTACGCCTTGATGGATGGATATTTGGAAATTGTATGAATGTATCAGTTTTATTTGAACAAAAATAGAATTTAGAAATACTTTTTTAGTGCAATAACGCTACCTTTTCATTTACACAAATATGATTTAAAAGTGTAATCTCTCTAAGCTTCATGGTTTCAAGGTTTCATGAGTCTGCAGTTGATTATGGGTTTTAGTAGCTGAAGTAAGGCAGGATGTCTTGCATGTTATTCCTGAAATGTTCATGCAGCGATACTGAGTTATACAGAACAGCTAAAAATCTGTTTGTAAAAAATACCAGCTGATGCTGTTTCTTGTTAGATATCATTCTGAAATAAGCTAGCAATTCAAAATACATCTTAATGTTTGAGGTAATATTGGGAAGTAGGACATTCTGATTTCTAAGGTAAACAAAGAATCATGACTCAAAATTGCCTTGGGAAATGCACTAGACACTGAACAACTCTTATCTATTGCATAATGTGGGTGAACTACATGTCTCCTGTGGAGCCTCTTGATATTATGCAAATCTCCTCTAGAAGTACTGATTTTGAGTTTGACAGTGATGGTAGGTTTTGGAGTATGGGTAGCTAACCACTAGGACGTGGGCAGGGCCAACAAGTTTTGAACTAAACTGCTCAAGAGCTATCGTGGTAATGCTTTTGTCATAGGGGAACTCTTTAATGAAGCTGTCCTCATGATTTCATGCAGTTGTGAGAAACTCTTCATCTTTAAGAAATGAATTCTTGGAGTAAAAACTTAAGTGTCTTAAAGTTTCTTAAGGGCTTTCCTAAGCAAGCCACCTTTATTTTAAAGTAGCTTTAACTATTTTGAACAAGAGCCAACACAGACTTAGGTATTCAAAGCAGGGGTTAGGTGGAAGTGGGAAAAAATTGTGACCCGCACAGTGAATGCAGCTAAAGCTCCCCTCTTGCCTTGCAGTTTAACTTCTTGCTCCCTGTGTGCTTGTAGCTCCCACACTCAGCGCCCTCCACTCTCCTGACATCTGCAGTGGAAGTCCTTTTTCCCTGTTACCTCTAAGGTCCTTACTTGATTGGCACACTTTGAAAATGCTTACAAAAAAGATAGGTTTGAGATGCTCACAGAGTGGAGTGAAAGTGTTATTGTGTTTTTTGTTTTTTGTTTTTTTTTCTTTCCAAGTGCACCTAGAAAAAGTAGAGGTGGACAGTAATGGTGATAGCTCCATCCAGTCTTCTGACAGCTAGGTAGTTATCTCCAGAAATACCTTTCTGTTATGCCTTCCACTGAGAGTGATTTCAGACTTTTGTGTATCTCTCTGCGTAGACATTTGGGTATGCCTTTTACCTCCCATGTTGCAACAATTCTGCTATGCAGAAAAAAATCAGAAGTCATTTGGTCATGGAAAGGAAAATACTGCTAATAATTTATGGTTAAAGTTAGTGTCTAAACATCTCTGGAATGCATTCAGAATGTTGTTTTCGTGTGTGTGTTTCCTGAAGTGTACAGACTGTTTAATTACAGGAAGTAAAACTTACACTTAATGGATGCTCCTGCATTTTAAAATATTCTACTGTGCTCTCGGAAAATACTTCTGTTTCCTTACTGTGATGCTATTTGTGGAAGCAGCTTTCATGCACTGAAAAACAGGAATTTTGAGGAAGTTGTAGACCATTTACTCAGTGTCTTTATTCCTTCATCTTGGAAATTCCCAGACTCTAGGCAGATTAGGGGAGTCCTCTTGTGTCCTAATACTCATTTGTTACAAGCCCTTTTTTTTGTTACTCTAAATGCACTAACTTTAGAGAATGGTATTTGAAGAGAAAAGTAAATTTGTCTGAATCCAAGTTGAAGATAACTGCTTCGCTCTTGTCTCCAATAATTTAGGGAAAGGGCTAAGAAACTGAAGAAAATGTAGAGGGAAAAAAAAAGAAAAAGAGGTGGAAGGATAGCTGCTTCTGCATACCAGGGAGCTGCAGTGGTTATGAATCGTGTCTGAAGGCAAAAGCTACAGTCACTCAAGATAAGGTGAGAATAAGCCATACAAATTCTGCAGATATTAGGCCTCTGGGAAGATCCATGGTTACACTAAATTTTTTAGAATTCCAGAACAGATACAGCTCTGGAGTGTCTGAGTGACTTGTCTGGGATTTTGGAATGGGGGATTTTGCTGTAAGTTTTAGAACAAAGTTACTTTCACTTCACCCACAGTGAATAAACAATATAAGCAATCTTTTCTGCTTTCTCCTGTATCTTGTTGCTTGTTCAGTTCTTAAATTCTTAAATTTTGTAATCTTCCATTTGTGTTTCATGTTTTAAGAAACCATTGCTTTTCTTAAACCAGTAGAAATAAATAAAAGTCAGTATTTTGATCTTAGAGAACAGTTAACAAATCATTACTTCCCAAATGTTTTATGACACTTCTTTGGTTTAGTCTTGATGTTATTACTTTGTCAGTGGTTTTGTTCTGTTTACTGGTGGTGTTAACCTCTTACTTGATTTGTAATCATACATCTTAGTATGCTTGTTTCAGGTTTAGCCATATTGTGTTTATTACTTCAGTAAGCTCCTTCAGCTTATTGATTTATACTGCTACTAGTGCCCATTTTCTAATAATTTCAAAATATTATAGTGACACATGAAACTAAGAACTACACCATCAGAAGTTTACATGAAAACTTCTGCTCAGTTGTTACTTTACAGATTCAAAAATAAACTGTGAAACTTCTAGAGTAGATTCAATTTGTAGAAGCTTGTCCTGAAAAGATGCGTAATTAGCCCAATTATATTATGTGTGCATACTTTTGCCATTTCTCTGTGTATGTAAAGAATGTAGGTGCTTACTTGGCAAGCGTGTTAAGGGCATATTTCATTTGTTGTATTTGCTAATGAATTAGGTAATACCAAAAAGAAGTTAATCATTTTCCCTTAATGTGTTTTTTTCATAGTCCTTCACCTTTTGATTTTAATCAGCTGTCCATATATCATACCATTATTTTATTTACCTGTGGCATCTTGTTAATGAGATGCATAATAAAAGAATCATCAATTTATATTAGATATTCCCCAGCTCCCTTTACACTGATTCCAAAACTAAGTAGAATCAGTCTCAAAGAGCTCTAAATGCTAATTTTTATTGATGGCGACAATCAGGAAATTAGCAAAACACAAGATGATGTTCCTATGATAAAAAGAAATGCAGTAAAAATAATAGATGGTATAGGACTGCATTATGTCTGAAGTTTCAGATTTTTTTTAATCCTCTTTTGTAACCAAGTCAAGCTATGAATGGAAAGGTTAATGTTAGATTTCAGCACAACATTCTCTAGTAGACATTTGCACTCTGAAATTAGAAATAATTGCAATTGTGCTTTTTGTTGGTATTACAGTGTTTGTAACTTATGTGATTTTAGAATGCTGACCTAGTGCTTTCCTTGCCATATAAATCCTATCTAGGTTCACAGAAGGTCATCTTCTGCTTCTTCTGAAAAATACCTAATTAGGCATGTGGAGATTGTGAAGTGCTCTCGAGTAGCTGGCAACCTTGGTCGCTCCTCAGAAGCTCCACAAAGGTTCAGTGTGATGCTATACAAAGTCTACTTCTAAGCCTTTGGCTTGGGATAGAAAGCCTACGTAGAGATAGTATTTCCTTGCTTGCTGTTGCTCTTGTGTCCTGCCTCAAGGCTATTTAGAGAAGGTTGTGATATTATATGTCTGCAAAAATTATTCTCAAGGACTCTAGAAGAATCAGAAAAGTTGGGAAACTTGGGTATTGGAGGGGAATTATTTCTGCTGTATGAATGGTCTTTAGTTTGCTGGTGGTGTCCTCTGAGCTGCACTGAGATCTCCTTAATGTGATTCTGGAAAGCAAGGAAAGGCTTGGTGGGCTTTCCCAACCTTATTTGGAGACCAGAAACGTAGCTCGAGTTCATAGCAGTCCCCTTCCTTCCACGATGGCTCAGTGAGCAGCAGAGCAGTGTGCTGAGCTTGGAATCTGGTGCTGACCCTTTACATTGAGCCTAGAGTGTGGTCCAGTCCGAGTGCCTGCCTGTGAGTCAACTTTGCATTTTGAACATGTTACTTTTTCAGTTAAACTGAAATTCAATATCAACCATGTGTAAGCACAAGTAAGTGTCACTTATACCTGTCAATAAGCCCAGCTAAGAAGCGAGCAACAAGTAAGATTAAATATAAGTTGCTTTTAAGTTTGGTTGTATATATGTTTTTTTTACTGGTCTAGATACAGACTTGCAGCAGTTCTGGCTATCTTCCATCTTTCTACTCCTAAAAAGACAAAGTGCATTTAGAGTTCATCCCATACTTTGGAGAAACAGGCCATTTACTGCTAAAGATAGAGACTTGGAAAAAAAAAAAAAAAACAACTGTGCTTTGGTGACAGATTTTTGATGTAAATAACTGTGAAATATATTTAGAGACCACATGTATACAATTGTAAATTTGACCTTTCCTGTGCAATGCATGCTATCATGACACACAATTTAAAATAACTTGCATATTTAAGCAGCAGTGTTTACTTTGCAGACAGTGTTCACAAGTAGGAAGCAGTTGTAGGGAAAAAAAAAAAAAAAACACACACTAATGATTCCTTTATTAATTTAATAGTGTTTTGGGACAATTTAAAAGTCGTTGTGGAAAACAGTAAGAAAACACTTTTTAGGTGACCTGACACTAGAGGACTGACTTGAACTGCTTATAGTTAGTAATGTGGCAAACAATGAAAATAAAATCCTGAGAGAGAGCAAGTAAGAGTAAAACTACAAGAATATCGGCATTTTCCACCATCCTAACCCTTAACTATTGCATATTGTTCTACTGAAAGCAAAAGACAATAATTTGGATTAATACTGCTAAAATGAGAATTTGGACTAAGATGCATAAATATTTCATGTCTTTCCTAATGTGCAAATAGTCTGTAGAAGAAAAGAATATTGGCTATTAAAGTATCCTGATAATTACAAAATGATCTTTGTAGAATGAGCTTCAGGTTACAGTAATTGCTTTACTTTAAAAGAACTACTTTGTGTTAAAAGAAATGCTAAAAACAAATAAAACCACAGAATAATCTGAGTTACACATCGGTGAGGAAGTAGTAGGCAAATTAAAATATCAAGGTGTTTGCTTTATTTATTTGTATTTTTTTTAAAGGAAAATGCGTTTCATGTTCCCTCCTATTCTAAATTCTTGAGAGGAAGAAAAAATAATTCACAGTTGCCCAGTTTGTGTGGTAGTTTTGTGGTATATTTCTTCTGTATGAGAACTAGATCCTGCAAGGTAGTCCTCCTCCCTTTTGGAGATATTACAAAGGACTTGGTTCCATTAGGTTTAGAATAATAAATGAAATTCAGCTGCAGATACAAGTAAAAACACTGGAAATTTGGGAGTGGATCTCAGATGAATTGGGTTCTTCTGTGTCTCCCAGGGAACATCTTGTCCCAGTAGGTTGCTGGGGTCAGTTCTCATTTTCATTCAATGTCTTCACATTCTTTCTTGGGATTTGGAAAATCCAGCAATAATAATCAGCCCTACCTCAGATGTCTTCAGGTAATGTCCAGGTTTCATGTGGAGCTGAGTTCCTTTGGAAACGTCCTCTACAGTCTTTGCTTTTCTTAAGTACCTGCAGAAATCAAGTTCTTAATACTGGCAGCTACAGCCTGTAATGCAATACACATCAACAAGGAAACACAGCAGTAGTTTTGCCAGCTTGCTGTACATTCTCAGTAGCAAGGATCAGTACAGCGTGTGTGGGGGGAAACCTTTGTTATCCTATCTGCTCTTTCTGCTCTTTTTCATCCCTCTGTGTGACTTGTTTTGCCCTAAAGGATGCTTTAGCTCACTCTAACCAACTAGCCATAGAGGATAGGTAATGCGAAGTCAAATGCTGTTGAAAAGAGGGAAGTAGCTGGAGAGGACAATAGGAACAATGTGAAAGGAGTAAGGTGCATTGTTAAAAACAAGTCCAGCTTCAAACCAGATCTGTGCAATGCCTTCCTTTCATTTCTTTTGCTCTTTTACAAAAGGCATTTCTAACAGATCTTGAATGCTGATCAGTATCAAAGCCTGAAATTGTGACCTGTGCTTACTGTGGGAGTGCCGGAGTGACCTTAACAGCTTTGAACGTCTCAACCACATGCATCACGGAAATGGACATGGCCCTTCCCTTATATAAGAAAATGAACAAATTGTGCCTTCTTTCTTATTGTGATTTGGCTGATGCAAAGATAAATATAGTCATATTTTCCAATTTTCTAGTTAAATTATTTTGTTTTGAATTCCAATAAAATCTGCTGCTTTCTTTGTTTTAACTTATGGGTCCTCGTTCTAATTTAAATTTGGGTTCATACTTGCTGCAGTTGCTTATGTGTGTATGGGTACACACAGGTTGTGTGTATGCAGATAATTGTCTTGGATGGCTGTTTCTGCCTGCTTGGAAGTACCCAAAGGCAGGCACAGTCATAGGCTGTTCAAAATTGCGCTGGAAACAAGTGGCATGTTTCTGTTAGTACTGTGCTGACTTCAGGCTTTGGATTTGGGCCTGAATTGACATGCAAAATGTAAGCACACGAATCAGTTCTGTTCAAAAATGAAGCCCTAGATATATAATAAAAAATTTAGATGCTTAGTAGCTAGATCACCAGTCATTAGAAATGTCAGTTACTATAATTTCAGATTTATTCATAGGGAGTTCACATCCACAGACAACTCCAAGGGGGCATGCTTCCAATAAAAAAGAAACCTCGGAGGCCAGCTTCCCATTGTATTTGATTAGTACGCATTTTTTCTTTACATAACTTGACACATACTGGCCTGATTACACTTCTGCCTTAACTTGACAAAAACCCGTTCTGACTTGATGTGATAAAATGAGAAGAAACTCTGATGTGACTTCAGAGTCGTATCTTCCCCAGCAAAATTTGAAGCTTCTTGTGTCTGCTGGGCTCCAACAGTCTTCTGTGATGGATGAATTCTCCTGTTTCCTGACTTTGTGATTGTGGCTTTCAATGCTATTG